TAATGATTGTCTGCAGTGGCACTAGGAAACTGGGCAGGCATTAAGCCCTGGAGACCAAGTGGGAAGGGAAGGAAGAACTAAGAGGGAAAAACATAGCATCTACCAAAATGAAAGAGTAATAAGACAACAAACCTTCGCTTCCCCCTCAACTACCATCCGTAGTATCCATTTAAGAAACCACACGGAAGAGGACCGAGGCTCAGCAAATGTCCTTAGAGATGAGAGCTGCCCAAGGGAAGGGTATTATGGTTGCTAGTTGCCATCCAGTGGACTCTACTCATGGCACCCCCAGGGGCTCCACAGGATTGCTCTGGTCTCTAAGCTCTACTGACAGGCACGGAGAGGTGGCATGGTGGGGTCGTGGTTATGAGCTGGGCTGTGATCCACAAGATTGGCAGTTTAAAGCCACCAGTAGCTCCTCAGGACAAACACGGGGCTTTCTACTCCTGTAAACAGTTGCAGTCTCCAAAACTCACAAGGGCAGTTTTGCCCTGCCTTGAAGAGTCACTATGAGTTGGCATTGGCTAGATTTCCAGGGTGGTGTGGTGGATATGCGCTGGGCTGTGATCCATGTGGTGGGCAGTTCAAAACCACTAGCTGTTCCATAGCAGCTCTTTGGGAGAAAGACTGGGTTTCCTACTCCTGTAAATGATCACAGCCTCCGAAACCCACAGGCGTTGCTATAAATCTGCCCTGACTCTCCGGCAGTGAGCAGTGAGAACCACCTTTATGGAAGTAGACTAATGAGCCTTTCCTTAGGAGGAGCAGCTGCCAGGGTTTAAACTGCTGACTTTGGGGTAAGCAGTTAGGCATAAACCATTCCTGCCACCCTTAGGGGCTGAATGAGACTAGGAAAATCAGATCACACGTGTACAAGGCTGCTCCAAGAAAACCAGAACCCTGGTGGTACTTGGGCGACATGGTGGGCAGGCAACAGGGTCAGCAGTTCAAACACACTACCAGCTGCTCTGCCGGAGAAAGTTGATACTTTATGTTCCATAAAGATTTGCAGTCACAGAAATAGTATGGACCAGTTCTACTTCATCATCGAAGAGTACTAGGAGTCACAATTGAATGATAGCAGTGAGACGTTGCAAGAACATAGAATCAACACATATATGCTTAGAAAACGTCCCTGCTCCCTCCCCTCCACCAAAACAGTATCAAAAGATAGCAGGAGACAAGTGTAATACAATACATTATTAAGCTGAATTAAACATATGAAAAGTAACATTTGGAAATAAGAAACTTACACGTTACAACAAGCATCTAAAAATATGGAAGTGGAAAATAAAACAAGAAAAAATAACTGACTACAGAAATTAAAAGAAAATGACACAATCCTATGTCAAATGACAGGTGAATTTTGGTGTCTGAAGAAAAATAGATTCAATGGAAAATCGAATAAATATCATTATGGGGAACCTTGGAGGAAACAACCAAGATAATTAAAGTAAGACTTGGAAAGACACACCGAGGGTCAGAGAGAAAGTGGTTAAAATGCTAGAAAAAGAAATCCTGTATGTGTGTGTGTATATACATCAACTTGGAACACCTAGAAAAGAAAAACCATAGAGCACAAACACACACACACAAATATCACTGTATGTAAGCATCTCTGAGACTCACTTATTTAGTAATTTAATACTTGTTTTCTTACTTTTATTGGGGGCTTTTACATCTCTTATCACAATCCATACATTCATCCAGTGTGTCGAGCACATTTGCACATATGCCGCCATCATCATTTTCAAAGTATTCTCTTCCCACTTGAGCCCCTGATATCAGCTCCCCATTTCTTCCCCCTCCCTCCCCCACCCGCCCTCCCTATGAACCCTTGATAAGTTATAGATTATTATTTTTATGTATTACATTGTCCTCCATCACTCCTCACCCACTTTTCTGTTATTCATCCCCCTGGGAGGGAAGTTGATCCTAGTGACCAATTCCCTCTTTCTCCCCCCACCCTCCCCTTTTAACAATTTTCCCAATACTTTTATTGGCATATAAGCCACATATTATTCAATTCAATAGTTCAGTCATATCAAGAAGAGTAGGGCAATAATCATCACAATTGTTTTGAACATTTTCTTCATTTTTGAACAAATCATTATTAGCTCCCCATTTCCCTCCAACCACCCTTGCCATAGCCCCAAGGAACCATCAGTCCAGTTGCTGTCTCTCTAGATTTGCCTATATCTATCCTGGATTTCATATTCAGGAAAACATTAAAGATTATAACAAAAGGGAAAACATTAAAAACAAAGAAAAACTAACAAGAATAACAAAGTGAAACAGATAAACAACTCAATTGAAAAGAAAATATGAAACAGTAGAACAAATTTAAATGGATCATAAGGGAGATAAAATGATAGGGTGATACATTTTAACCTATTTGCCACGGCAACAATCCATTTCCAAAGCATTCAGCTGTTAGCAAGGGTGGTCACATCTCTAGTCCGTGGTCAGAGGGGCTTCACCAGGACTTAATCCGTGTGTGCTTTCCCTCCACTAGAAAAAACAAACCAAACTGAAGCCGCTTTAAGATGGGTCTAAAGGGAATCAAATACTAAGATAATACATTTGACCTAACTATATCTAGCATAATCGGTTTTACAATCCTCTCTGTTTAATAACAGGGCTAGTCACATCCTTTAACTATGCTTAAAGGTTATTCACCAGAGCCTAAATCCATGGGTGTACCATGCAAATGGATTGGGGGCTTCCACTGTCATCCAAAGCCTTCTTCAAACCAGATGTTCATCATTTAACGTCTGATGTCATTCCCTCCTTTAGATTTGTATTATACTATTTACAATCCTTGGACCACACAGGTTGGTATGCTTCTTCCATGTGGACTTGGTTGATGCATTACTTAGATGGCTGCTTGTTTGAAAATATGACCCCCCAGATGCTATTCCTTCTGATAGCCAGGCACCATCTAGTTTCTTCACCACACTTTGAAATAACACTCAGATCTTCAGTGACCTCTTCATGAGACTGAGCATCAAGCAGGACCATGTCATAAGAACTAATTGTTCTCAGACTGAGGCTAGAATCAAGTGTAAGCCCCCAATACATCCATGCATCTATGGTTTGTACATGTCTCTGGTTCACTTTAGAGACATCATTGTCATATTATGTTACAGAACATTATCAGTCATCCTCCAGGGCTCCTTTAATAAAGCCATGATAAGAGGAAAATTTATAGCCTTAAGTATCCGTGAATATAAATGAAAGCATGACATTAAATTGTAACATAATTCAATAAGAAGAAGACTAACACCAAAATAAAGCAAAAGAAAGGATTTAATAAAGATAATTACAGAAATTAATGAGGTGTCAAACAAGAAAAATGATTGAGTTAATCATCCAAAGCCTTATTTTTTTAAAAAAAATAGACAAAAACAATTAGTTAACTTAATCAAGGAAGAAGAAAATATTGAAAACTGACATGTGACAAGTATAAACAGTTATTGATTTAGAACTTAAAGATCCTGGTAGATTACCGTAGTATATATATCTATATCTATCGGCAAAGAGACAGAGAGAGAGAGAGAGACCTTGATGAAATGGACAGTTTCTAGTGTCATAGTTTACCAAAAGCGACTCAAGAGAATGTATGAAATGCAGGGTTATCTTTATAGATGAATTAGAATAGGTTGTCAGACCCACTTCTCAAACAGAACCCCAACCGGCTCAGTGGTTAAAACACTCAGCTGTTATCCCAAAGGTCCGAAGTTGGAAATTACCTGCTGCTCTGTGGGAGAAAGATGAGGTAATCTTCTTCCACAAAGATTTATAGTCTGGAAACCTGGGGTTGTTCTGCCCCGTCCTATAGGGCCACCAGGGCACACTACTAACCTTTCAGAGCCCCAATACGCCGTACATTATTTTAGAACTTAAAAAAGGAATATCCAAATTATTTTGTGAAATGTGAACATTGATAGCTGTACTTAATAAAGATAGAACAATAAAGGACATTACAGTATTACAGTATTACAGACTGATTCAGTTTATTAACATGGTGCAAAAAGTAAAAGTAAAATATTATTAAGTAATTCCCAACATTACGTTTAAAAAATCACCCCTGGACATCTGTGGCTTTATACCAGAATTCAAAGATGTCGCAATATTAGGAAATCATATTAGTAATGTTATTAGGAAATCATATTGGTAATTCTAATTATACAATTATAACAAAAGGGAAAAAAATCATGAATATCTCCAGAGATGCAGAAAAAGCCTGATGTAGTGCAACTCTCCATCTTTATAAAAGTCTCTCCTTAAAATAAGTATCCTCATGTACACACACACACACACACACACACACACACACGCAGAGTAAAAACGTAATCGTACTAGGGTTCAGATTCATAGACACTCAAGTTTCCCTACATTAAACGTGTGTTGAAAGTCTCACTCTCCAGTCATGCACTTGTCTTAGTCTCCGGCTTCGGGTGACGTCAAAGAAAGCGGAGACCTCTGTGGGGAGCTGCTAGCCAATTGGATTCCAGGCAAAGAGAGCAAAGGTGAATGTTTAGGGGACGGTCCCAAGAGGTGATCTTGAAAGGCTTTTTCTTCAAAGGAGTCAGGACGGTCACAGAGGCTTTGAATGAAGAACCTTTAAAACAGTAGAAAATCGTGTTCCTTAAGAAAATGCCAAAAAAGTAGGTCTGATTTTTTTTTTTTTTTTTTTGGTTTTTCTCATCATGAAGATGGGAAGCTCATTCTCTGAGGGTGGCAAGAGCGATCTTAAGAGAATTACATGGAGAAAACATATTCCATTGATCCTACAACATCAATCTTACTGTTCGGACTCCTTTTTGTTCCCAAAGCTCTAAGAATGTCTTAGAATAACGCAACGTGAGGCCCTAGAGGACAACAACTGCTGTTTTGTTCACATGGTATAAGTCAAAGCCCCAGAATTTTCTTTTGGAAAAGGTTAAAACTTGAAACCAAATCCACTGCCATCAAGTTGACTCCGACTCTTTGTTATTTTTAGGTGCCGTGAGGTCGGTTCCGACCCATAACCCATAACAACCCTACACACAGCACAACGAGTCATAGTCACCATGTAGCACGTTCGGAGCCCGTACATCTGTGAAGGAACAGGTCTCAACAGTCTCCAACGACGCAGTTGGTGGATTTGAACTTCTAACCTTGTGGTTATCTGTCTAATGCCTACCTGACAGCTCCACTGGGGCATCTTCAGAAGTGTGTAGGCCTAAATGAAGGGTCCATTGAGAAATGATAGTTTTCCATGTGTATCTTTGAAATAAATGTCTCAGTGATGTTGCAGCAATACATTACCAAGCACGATGTTTTTTCCAGGAAGTGGTCTCTTCTGGTGTCATGTCCAAAGGCAGTGAGAAAACTTCTTCAAAACAAGAGTTTGGTTGTACTTCCGCCGAGACATATTCGTTTGGTCTTTGGGCAGCCCTCGGTGCGCTGAGCATTCTTTGGCAAACTGTAACGTGAACACATCGATTCTTCTCCTGTCTTCCTCCTTCATTGCTGAGCTGCCAGACAGACGAAGCAATTGGATTAGCGATTTAAATGTGCAAACAACACTACAGGAACTGTAAAAGACAACAAAACAAAACAAAAAACTTGGGTAGATTCTTTCATGACCTCAGTATAGAGAAATTTTTTTTAGCAATTCAAAATCTAGATTAAATAATGAAAAAGATGAATAAATTTGACCACATTAGAAAAATCCCCCCTCCCCCTGCCTCAACTAAAGCAAAGCAAAGTAAAACAAAGAAACCACACGTAGAAAGCCTCATCAGGTCAAAAGAAAAATGACAATCTTGAACAAAATATATAAACCCAGTGTACCAAGAATTTTGGCAGAAGGGATTAAAAATCCTACTGGAAACAGAGACAAGAATTCATGAATAGACATTTCACAAAGGAGATTAAAATAATCCTAGATGACATGCAAAAATTGTGCAACATTATGATAGGAAATGCAAATTTAATGACACGGAGTTATCAGTTTTCACTCATCAGTTTGGGAACATTTCAAAGTTAGCTGTTGCCTCCATTGGCAAGGTCTTGTGGGACTTGAATTGTTGGTGGGAATTCAAAATGGTTTAACTGCGACGGAGAGGAATTCAACGATATGTAACACAACTTCACGTGCAGTGATTGCTCAATGCTGACATGCTGCTTCCAGAAATTTACCCCGATGATACACTTCCCCCTCACATAGGGTATGTTCATTCGTGTCAGCAATATTTGAACTTGTGAAATATTAGAAACTACCTAAATGTCCGCACATGAGACACGGCTTTTATAAGCCTTGGGAGAGCTTTGGAGCTGGGGAAAAGGATAAAATAAGCCTCTGAGAATAAGAAGGAAGCGGTCTCCAGGACACATTGTTAAGTGAAAAAACGGAATGGAGGATAACAGAATTAACAACAAAAACAAAGCCACCAGAACAGACACGCATGCCTCTTTTCAAACATTTAAACTCAACACGATGAACCAGGGAGCAAGGGCATTGCCACGGCTGTTGGGTAGGATGGAGAACCGGGAAGAGCTGGAGGAGAGAGCGACATTTTTCTGAGAGGATCTTTGTGCATAAAGATTGAGACTGCGTTCACATTCTACAGGTGAAAAATAAAACTGAGACCAGAATGGAGCATCAAGGGAACTACAACTAATTGAAATAAAGTAAGTCAAACCCGGAGTGGTGGGGAGGGAAGAATGCATCACGGAGAGAATATTTAACAATAGGCTGTCGATCGTGGGGAACAGGGGCTGAAAATTGCAAGCCAACCTTGATTTATTTTCAGCATGTCTGCTGTCATCTTGGTATCATCATAGAGGTCGTTCTGAAACTATTCCAGACCCATTACAAGATTGGGCAAGCACATACATACATTGATGTTGATATAGAGAGATAGAGATCTGGATTAATTGTACTGGAATGGGAAAAATTAATAAAAATGCATGGATTTTGGAATAAGTATATGTTTATATGTGTGTGAGTCAAAATGAATTGTTACAATATCAGAGAAGCTTGCATTAAACAAAAATATCAAAATGTGAAACTATTGTTTCTTGACAGCATCTCCATTTAGGTCTATACACTTCTGACGGTGTTTTTCCACCTTTTTTCAGTTCATGCCACATCTAAACAGCCTTGTAGCATTCTTAAAGGGCTGGAATCATGCTCCTTTGAAATGTTATTTGTGGTTGAAGAACAAAAGGAAGTCTGAAAAGGCAGGGTCAGTGTGGAGAGGCAGTCGGGGGAAGGTCTTCCAATACAACTAGGGCAGCACAGCCTCTGCGGCACTAGAGGAATGAACAGGTCCATTGCGGCGGCAGAAAATAATTCCTTGGCATAACCTTTCTGACCTTTTTCTCACCAAGGTAGTTTTCTAGTTCCTTAAAATTTCTTCATAATAAGTTGCTACATGTTTCAAGTATTCTTTGAGAAAAACGTATGAGGGTGGTCCCTTTGGAATCCTCAAAATTGTCCCAGTGACCTGAGCTGACCTACTCGCCTTGGATTTACTAGCCCAACAGATCCCCATGGAAGCCATGGTTTTCACTGGACCTTCTTTGACATTAACAGAAGGAGATGAATATTAAATAGGTTTGGATTGAATTGTTGCACTGGAATTAGGGTGTTGCTGAAGAATAGTGAAAGAATCAACGGATCTATCCAGGAAGAAGTACAGTCAGAGCGCTCCTTAGAGCAAGGATGGCCGGGCTTCATCTCGCATTCTTTGGACGTGTCATCAGGAGAGACCAGTCCCTGGAGGAGGACATCCTGCTGGGTAAGGCAGAGGAGCAGCGGAACAGAGGAAGGCCTTGACAAGATGCACTGACACAGCGGCTGCACCAGTGGCTCACACATCAGAGCAACTGGGAGGATGACACAGCGGCTGCACCAGTGGCTCACACATCAGAGCAACTGGGAGGATGACACGGGACTGCTCTGCTCTGCTGTGCATTCGGTCACGATGGGCTGAAATGACTTGGGCAACAGCAAGCAATAACAACACGTACAAAGTGGGACCCTAGTGGTGATATTGTTTGACTTATTCCCTATGTGTAAATATACTAGAACTGAACAAAAACACAGATTGTGCATATTATCCTGGCTGTGTGTGTGTGCTTCTCTCTCTAACTGTTCACTAGGTGCATAGGAGCATTATTTAACTCTCCCCACCAAACCAAACCAAACCAACCTAATGCCAGCAAGTTGAGGCTGACTCATAGTGACCCTGTAAAGTCACAATCTTACTTAAAATTCATATCTTGATTTTTTGGGTACTAGTCTCCTCTTATAAAACAACAATTTTCCTCAGGGAGATGGCTGATTCCATCAAGAGAGGTACCATATGAGTTTGGTGTATATTGTGATCTCAGAAGACAAAACCCCCAAATCCAAGGCTGATCGGTTAGAAATCTTCCTCCGTCATTTGACAGGGCTTCTCTCCAGTCAACGTTGCCTATGGGAGCAGCAGAATGATGGGGAAGACACGGAGTTATAAACACTGGGGACGTGGGGATCCAGGAGAACCGGCTGATAATCTCCCCTCCGAGAATTTCACTCTTCTTGGACCAGGAACCAATGTCCATGGAAGTGGGAGTCAGGACGTTGAAAGGAAAATTACACTACATTGGACACATTTGCTTCAAAAGACCTCTTTGAAATTTTCAGGTGCAGACATGTTAATTAGATGATTGAGAAGAGTCTGTCCAAGTCATGTTCTTCTCATGTAGTGGGAGAGATGGACAAAGTAGATGGAAGGGAGTTGAGGAGCTGACACATTCGAACTTGAGTTTGGATAGATTATGGTATTGAATATACTACAACCAGTCACACTGTAGGAAGGATGAGGCTGCTCCAAAAGAAAAATGTACTCATCCACCCACCCACCCACTCACTCACTCACGCATTCACTCACTTACCCATTCATTCACTCACTCACCCGTTCATTCATTCACTCTCTCACCTACCTACTCATTCAGTCACTCACTCAGTCACCCACTTAGTCAGTCACTCAGTCATTCAGTCACCCTCTTACTCATTCACTCTCTCACCTACCCACCAAACCATTCACTTACTCACTTCACTCACTCACTCACTCACTCACTCACCCACTCACTCACTCACTCACCCATTCACTGCCATTAAGACAAGACCAACTCATAGCAACCCTATAGGACAAGGTATAACTTCTGGGACTGTAACTGTGTACAGGAGTAAAAAGCCTGTCTTTCTCCTGAGGAGCCTCTGGTGGTTTTAAACTGCTGACCTTACGTATTACTACAGCCCAATGTTTAACCACTATGCCATGCCACTGGGCCTCTTAAAAAACACATATAGTCTTGGAAAACCTATATAGGGGTCACTCTTAATTAGAATTGACTCAGTGGGTGGTGGGCTTGGACTGATAGTAGAAGGGACACAACTTGCGGCATTCTTACTGCAGCCCAAGACGGTTAGGGAGGGAGTAAGCTAGTTTGAGAAGAGCCATCTGCCTTTCTTGCCCATCTTGAAGGCAAGGGTGGGGAGTATCTGGCTGACAGACCATATCAGACATCAAATCAGTGCCAGCTAACATCACCTGCCTCACCAAAGAGCAGACGTTCCGGCAAAACTGTTGTTGTTGTAGGGGATGATCTAGTCTGCACAGACCTACAGCGGCCCTATTTACAACAGAATGAAATGCTCCCTGCCCTGTGCCCTTCTCAAGGTCGACCCTGTGCCTGAGCGCAGTGATGAAGCCTCTCTGTCAGTTCATCTTGTTGAGAGCCTTCCTCTTTTTTGTCCGCCCTCCACTTTATCAACCAGGCTGTCTTTCTCCAGGGACTGATCTCTCCTAACCTTACGTCCAAAGTATGAGACGCAGTCTTGCCGTCCTTGTCTCTAAGGAGCCCTCTGGCCTTACTTCCTCCAGTGCAGATTGGTTTGTCCTTTTAGCAGTCCATATTACTTCCAATATTCTTCTCCAGTACTAACATTCCGATGCATCAATTCTTCTACGGCCTTTCACTGTCCAACTTTCACATGCATATGAGGCAGTGGAGAATACCATGGTTTGGGTCAGGCGCACCTTAGCCCTCAAAGTAACATCCTTACTTTTCAACACTATAAAGAGGTCATCTGCATCATATTTACCTAGTGTAACTTGTCTTTTGATCTCTTGGCTGCTGCTTCCATGAACAATGATTGTGAGTCCAAATAAGACAAAATCCTCAACATCTTCAAACTTTTCTCATGGTGTTATCTATTGGTGCATTGCGAGGATTTTGGTCTTCCTTACACTGAGTTGTAATCCATACTCAAGGCAACAATCCTTGATCTTCATCAGCAAAGGCTTCAATTTTTCCTCATTTTCAGAAAGTAAGAATGTGTCACCTGCATATCACAGGTTGTTAATAAGGTTTCTTCCAGTCCTAGTGCCACATTCTTCTTCATATAATTCAGCTACTCTGATGATTTGCTCAGTGTATAGATTGAGCAAATATGGTAAACAAATACAACCCTGACACA